TGAAAAGATTTATAATAGATTTTATAAATAATAAATAATAAATAGATTTGAAATCTTCCCTGATTTGTTCAAGAAACAAGATTTAAATAAATAAATAAAATGTAAATTTATAACCAAGAAGAGATTTATAATAGATTTTATAAATAATAAATAGATTTGAAATCTTCCCTGATTTGTTCAAGAAACAAGATTTAAATAAATAAATAAAATGTAAATTTATAACCAAGAAGAGATTTATAATAGATTTTATAAATAAGAATCAGAATTCCTCGTCACATCTGTGTGAGAGGTAAATGAAAAAAAAATTATACTAATGATGTAGCACATTAAAAGAAACAGAAAAGAAATATCTCCATCATTCTAAAAGAAGTATCTCTACAGTTTCGCAGCTTGTGCAATTTTTTGATCTCTCTTTTTGATATAATTGAAATGTTTCTACGAAATTAACAGATTTTCTCTGACTATAATAATCGCTGTTCAAATGTTCCTTCGCGAATCTTCGTAAAACTGATCAGAAGATAATCAAATATCGTAACACATCCCGATGCACTAATAGCAAACGGATCGTTAACGACTGGTTAACGAGCTGAGATCTCGAAAGAAATTCCAACACGATATTAGAAAGTCCAACGATACACCGACTGTCAGCATGAACAGCCCTAATAACAACCTCGAAACTAGCAATCTCCCGTACGAACGACCTGTTACATAAACCCGGTTTCCAATTTCCAATTTTTAATCTCATCTCGCGGAAGTCGTCTGCTGTCATTTCAAACGAATCAGCTGAATGCATACGCAACAAAATCCTTTAATATAATTATTAATTATATTAAAAGGATTGAAACGCTAGAACAGAGTGTTTCTTCAACGAGATTAAAAATCATAGCTCGTTGTGTAGAAATTGACACACAAATTCTGCTAAAAAAAAAAAACCCTAGGGAATAATTTATAATAGTGGAGAAAAGAAAATTACGAATTGATATTATTCCTCTCGGTATTGGTAAGTATACTATTTTCTCCAACGTGTGTTTTGATATCTACAGGATATTCGGCGGAGTCGTTCGGCAAGCACAAGTGATAAGAAGGAACGCCAGCGACTACGTACACAGAGAGTAAAAGAGTGATAGCCTCGATGCGTCAACGGTAGGGAAAATTAAATGAACCTTCCACGATCTATGCCGATCCTTCTTCTTCGCTTCTTTCTATCCGCAATACCCTGATTGAATTTCATAAGTCGACCGTTGCTTGTTACTCCGGCCGCGCGCGCGCGCTGTGAGAAAAAGGGCGAACTTTTTGAAAAATATACGCGCGTAACAAGAAAAAGAAAGAAAGGGAAAAACAGAGAGAGAGGAGAGAGAAAACGCTGCCGCCGCCTCGACCGAAGGAAAGCTCCACCAACTGAAAACCAAGGGGCGGGCAGGGAGGCTTTGGAAAGGGTGAGAGCTGACGGCAGTAACCCACGGCTCTAAAACTAAAGCGGCAGCTCTGACAATTTCGATTTTACTGTCGCGCGTCCCCCTGATCCCTCTCGTCAGTGGAAAAAGCCCGAGCTGCTAGCCGACGTCAGGGATACTCACGTCCCTGGCTGGCCCATTCGCATTCAATCGCTCCATAGCCAGATACAACTAGATGTACAGGGTGATTCGAGAGAGACTGCACTGGCGGCTGATTTCCCTCCCCGTAATATCGTTCCGAAAAGGGCAGGTTTCTCTCTCAGGCCTCTCCTCGTTTACACTGGGGCTGGACTGTTTCGCCTCCGATTTTCTAAGGGTCTCTTTTCTTTCATCTTTTTCAATGATGAACGACTAGCTTCATCGCGGAAGATAGGGTATTTTATCTTGTTTCAGTTGAAGTATGAAAATATTTCATTGGCTTCTGAATATTAATAATTAATCGGAAGGGTACGTCGTAATAGACAGTAAAAACGTGTAGTGTTTGCGAATGTGGCTTATTATAAATAATAATACTTAAAATAATAAGTATTTATATATTATATTATTATATTTATTATGTATTTATTTATTATATTACAAATATTATAAATAAATAATATTATAAAAAATATTTATTTTCTTTTACCAAAATTTTTGAATCATCGTGTGTCAATGGTAGATGACGTTTGTAAAAGATACACAATTCCACATATAAATTATAATCGACGTTGTTTCTTTATCAAATATACGTTATCAGATATTATTATCTCTATTAATTCGTGGAAAGGAATTTTACAGATAAAACTGGGAGAATATCGCTGTATTCTATCAATGAAATCTATTAGTTCGCGTAGAGAGAGAGAGAGAGAGAGAGATCGCAAAGAATACGAAAGAACGCGTCACCCTTTGGATGAAATCGCGGCTGCCCGGCAGCTCTGTAGTTTACGGGGACTCGTGCAATTTCAGTTAATACTATAAAACCTTCGTCGTACACGTACGACGCCCTGATCGTCACCGACACAGCCAAAGAAAAGGAATAGTCAGATGCAGCTCATCTCGGTGCTTGCGCAAGCTTGCACGTCCCTCCAACTCGTCCACACTTGTCGATGGAAAGCTTTGGTTTATGGCCTTTCGTCCGCGGAGACGCGACCAGGCTACAAAAAGACCCTCTTGCTAAAATTATTTCCAACCCTTCGGCCGCCGTTGGAATTCAGATGTTTAAATATTTCCTCGGAATTTTCTCCTCGGGAAAAAAGATGATTTAAATAGATTTCATTGGCGAAGAATGTCGAAGTTTCGAGGCGAATCGAAATTACTTGACAATTAAAGAATTCAACTCAAGTTCGTCCTGAATAGAAACTGGATAAAACTTTGATATCGAGGACAATAAGAGGGAAATTTCAATGTTATATCACGTATGAGAAGAAAAAGAAGTTTGTCCTTAGAACTTTGTTCTTAGTATCTCTTGGAACTTTCAACTCGTGGTCTTCTCGAAAGCAAACTGTGTATCAGTAGTTATCGTGGTTGAAAAATTCAGATCTTTAAATATTCCTCAGAATTTTCTCCTCAGAAAAGAGATGATTTAAATAGATTTCATTGGCGAAGAATGTCGAAGTTTCGAGGCGAATCGAAATTACTTGACAATTAAAGAATTCAACTCAAGTTCGTCCTGAATAGAAACTGGATAAAACTTTGATATCGAGGACAATAAGAGGGAAATTTCAATGTTATATCACGTATGAGAAGAAAAAGAAGTTTGTCCTTAGAACTTTGTTTTTACTATCTCTTGGAATTTTCAACCCTTTTCGAAACCGTGTATCAATTATCGTGATTGAAAATTTAAAAAAAAAGTTCAAGGAACAAACGATATTAATCGGGGAATACGAATAATAATTCGATAATTTAAACGTCAACGTGACGAGAAATTACGACGAAACGAAGAGAAAAGAACGAGCAGAGTTCGTCGATTTACCTTGCAGTTATTGGCAGTCAGAGGCAACGAGTAAACTTTCAATTTCTGAAACGCCTTCACGACTCACGTCCATCCCGCAAATCCTGTCCACGAGAGAGAAGTGCCGTGACAACAACTGGCTCGTTCCTTTGTGATTCTATAACGCTGGTTTAACGCCGTATACAGTTCTGTCACACATCTTCGAAACTGTCGTAACGCGCTCTAAAAGGTCTCACCGGCTACGAGAAAATGGCGGAACGTTGGCAAGAAACTGCCGCGCTCCATCGTGCACATTGAATCGAAAGCGTCCGCTTTGGGAATGAAATTCAGATCTCTCGGAAAAGATGCACAAGGACAGACCTTTTTTTTTTCTGTCGTTCACTTCACTACTCAAATCCTTTATTTGCCGACGACATCGCAATTCGTTTCTTTCTTTTCTTTTCTCAAACGAATCTGGATGGTAGGGACGTAA